ATAATATTGAATGTTAACTGTAATTGAAAAATTTTTAAAAAGGAATGCAAGGAAGTGAGAAAATAAATCTTCAAACAGAGTACTCCTTATCACCTAGAATGTCTTTTTATTCAGTTTTCTAGGATTATTTATCTGTCCTAAGGAGTTCAATATAGAAATGCAGAGGCTGACAGCCAAGGATTTCAAATACAGTCCCACCTGAGACAACACATCTGAGATACAATGCTGAGTAATCAAAGATGAATAGCAATCAAAGGGCTTTGAGTAGCAATAAAGGAAAAAAATAAAGACATTGCTCCTTTGGGGATAATTTCTTACTTCTCCCACATGACCATTTGCTTCTGGATGACAATGTCCCACGTCCAGTTGTGCCTACGAGAAGCTGACTTCTGTACACTGCTATCCTAATCACATAGCCATCTTTCCCTTAACTTCTCAGGTGAGTATTTCCACTGGATAAGAGCTTCTAGAGACTTCTCATAGGACACGGTGCTGCCTGTAATTGGTCTCATCTCTAAGTCAGGCAGGCCAATGCCATTTTGATTTTTTCTGTGATTTCTTTTATAAAAGGTAAGATTGGAGAAAGAGAGAAGAATGCATATCCACGAGACTTTTTTGGGCTCCTGAATATTGTTCTATCTAAATGGGTATAATTGCAAAACTCTAACACACTAAATGATAATTTACACACACTCATAAAGGATCACTCAGAAGCCTAAAAATAGCCAAGACATGAAAATAACCTAAATATCCCTTGACTAATAAATGGATAAATAAATTGTGGTATGTGTGTATGTATATATGTATGTGTGTGTGTATATGTATATATACATACACATATGTATATGTATATATATAAATGTAATATTACTAAGCCATAAAAAAAAACAAGAAAATTTTAGCATTTGTGATAACATGGATGGACCTTGAAGGAATTATGCTAAGTAAAATAAATCCGACAAAGATAAATACTGTGTGATCTCACTTATACATGGAATTAAAAAAAAAATCTCATAGTAAATCATGGTTACCACAGTAACCAGAGGTAGGGAGTGGGGACAGGAAAAATTGGAGAAAAGTGGTTAAGGGTACAAACGTTCAGTTATAAGATAAATAAGGACTAGGGATATAATGTATAACATGATGACTGCAGCTAACACTGCTGTACGACGCAGGAAAATTAAGAGAGTAAATTTTAAGAGTTCTTATCACAAGGAGACAATTTTTTTCTTTTTTTTCCTTTTTTCTTTTTATCGGGTCTATATGAGAAGATCCATGTTAACTGAACATATTGTGGTAATCATTTCACAATATATGTAAATCAAATCATCATGCTATATGCCTTAAATTTATACAGAGATGTATGTCAATTATTTCTCAATAAAACCAAAAAGAAAGGCTTACACTCACATTTTTTTAAATTTCTATTTCTTATAGAAAACAAATGTAGATGGCACTTTCTTTTAATGGTTTATTTGCAAGCTGAGCTTCAGAAATATTATGCTCATAAAGATAGTACATGAAGGACTATTGCATTTTTCCTTATCAACATAATAGAAATATAATATAATTAAGTGTTTATATTATAATAAAATATAATTAATATAGATTCATCTAGCCAACTATTATTTATGAAGTGCTTCCTATGGATTAAGCAATGAACTAGACCAATAGAAATGCATGTATAGAAGGAATTTTTACATTGCCTTGAATAGTATTATCAGTATATTTGATAGACAGATCTCATGGGTATACAGTGAAATCTGCTGTCATATTTTTGCTGTGCATCACACTTCGCTTTCATGATATTTTCATGATAGCTTTTTTTGTTTACTCTTAGTATGTTCTCTCTTTATTTTTTTTAATCCAATCTCAAAAGTATTGTCATCTCTAGTATATATAAAAAAAAGATAGGATTCCTCATTTAGGATGAATTTACATGTGCTATGGAAATATTGATTCTATAAAGAGAAATTGAGGTTGGATACTGTTGGCATCAAATCCCAAATAGAAAATAAGTACATAAACCAGGATGATAAATATTCTCAAATAAAGCCATCCTTTTTCATAATTTCTAAGGTAAGTCATGTTTGTGGTAGTCTTTAAAAAAAGAAAGGGGAATAGAACGGAAAAGAGAATGTCTAGTAAAATAAGTAATATTCTCATGCATGCATTCTCTTCTTTTTTTAAATTTTATTAGGGTTTTTTTTAATCATTCAGCAAATATCCACTAATACTGTGTGCTAGGAAATAAAGCAGGTTACTAAAACAAAGTAAGATAAGAAAAAAACATGCCTAGTATATATATATTATACCTTTTGAAGAATTTTAAAAATTACTAAAACACATATATATTTTATTTTAAATAAAGTAACACTTGTAAAATGGTATTCCAAGGGTATGATAGTTAGTATTACTCTTTTGTCCATAGGAGGTGGGTTAAAGGAAAATAAAAGTGGCACCTCTTAACAGTGGTGGGTAAAACATGTTGATACTTATGAAGAATAGGAAATGGAAGCTAATGACTCAGTGAGTAGACAAAGACAGGAGAAAATTTTAAAATGCAGAAAGATAGAAGACACATGGCATTGGTCATCATCCCACCTGCTCCAGAGACATGAGTTCCATGTGACTCCTACCACTACTAGCTACTGTTTATTGAACAGTAAATCAATGTCAGGTACCTCACAAGATTTATTTACATATTTTCTTATTTAATTCTCACAATAGAATTTGTTTTGTGAGAAAAATATCAAAAAGTAGGTGATATTTTTTCCATTTTCTTCATTGCCTAAATAAGAATGTGAGACACAGAAAAGTGATACATCTAAGCTCACATAGTCAGGGAAAGTAGAGCTGGGTTCTAATCCATAATCAAGGGTCTGTCTGACTCCAAAGCTTGCCCTATGTTGCTTATCTCTGATTAGGTTCAATCTAAAATTCAAGGTGGGATATCTAATTGGAAAATAATAATGAACACTTCAGAATATTTCCTTCCTTTATGACTCTTACTACTTGTTGGTTCTTAGACTTCTATAACAATTTTATGAAAACTGTAGTCACTCTTCCTAGAAAGAAACATGAATGTTCACAATTATTTTGTGCATGCACTTTTAAGGGATTTCCAGACTCCTCAAAACTAAGGCTTAGAACATGTGCCTGAAAGCTGCAGGACCTGGCAGGGACAAAGTGGGTAGAAATATCTCCTTGGCCCAACCAATCCAGTTCATACAAATCCTATAATATAAGCAATTCTTTGCAACTATAGAATTCACCTTTAACTAGGGTGAGTCATAATAGACAGAGACCTCAAATTATAAAGATATTCACAAAGAACACAGGTTACAGCCTGATTCTTGCTGGATCTTTGAATGGGAATGAGTCAGCCAGCAGTGTCTAAGGAATTAGGAAAGAACATTGCTAGAATGAATGTTAACTCTGTAGTTGGGCTATGTCTCTTGCTCATGACCTTGAGGGTCAAAAAATTATCTAAGCCAATTCCAAATTGAGTAGCCATTTCACACAGTCCATAGCCCAGCAGGACACCATGCTCCAACTCTGCCATTATAACATTGCTATCAGCAGCAACTGAGCTGAGATTTCTCAAGACCAAATTTCTCACACACGAGATTCCATTCTTACATAAGAATCACTTTTACTGGTGCATAAATTTCAGCACCTAGCTGAGCCAAGAGTAATCAAGATTTAAAAGAAAGGAACCTGAATAAATAGCAAGCAGATTTCCTTTCTGTGAGGGTTAATTTGAAAAATCTGTGTGCTCTCATATGCCCCTCAAAGGAGACTGTGATTTTTCTACTTTAAGCTTGCATCACTGCTGTCAGGGGAAGGATGCTGTAAAAGCCATAGAAAATCTATGTTCTTAGAGGTTCTGTTCAAGCTATGACTTTGGTTTGTTCCAGCTTATGTCTATCCTCACAAGTTTCAGCTTGCTCTCATCTTCAGCTAAATTAACCATAAAGCAAAGCCTTGACTCACATTACAGAAGCCTGAGAGAGATGAGTACAAATCTGGAGCTATGCATCACTATATCAAAAGCTGCAGGCCTAAGAAGAAATGCAGAAACAGCCCTAATATTTGCATAGCACTTTGGGTAATGAAGAAGATTTCTTTAGTTTAAGACCTTGGAGTGGAGATTCAAATGTGTTGTCTGAGAGCAAAGAAAATATCATTTGATAGTGATAAAAGGAAGTAGAGTTGTTTAAGAAATAGTGGGATTGGGATAACAATGGATGGGAGGGCAGAACATAGGAAGGAGGACATCTCTTAAACTAAAAAAGGGCTAAGAAAATTACCTAAAGCTTCATTTGATAAAATTTGGGAAAATTAAATTAGGGTTAACAAATATCGAGGAAGGTTTGCATCTGTGACCTTGGGTAAATTGTTCCATCCTCTGGGTTTCCATTTGTAAAGTAGAAATAGAATGAAGACTCCTTCCTGCATGCCATTATAAAAGATAGAAAAAAAGCCTTTGAAGCCAACATAATGACTCCTCTGTCCAGGGAAATATAACAACAATAACTCCAATAACTTTCAGTTTTGCTCTTGAATGAGTTCTTTGCTTTTGTCTGAGAGGTAAAGTAGTTCATTCCTTGGGGAAAAATCGAATGTGGAATGGTAGACCACACCCTTTTCACTCAGTTTCATGATGTTATTTTGAATTATTATTAATATATAGAACATTCAATATAAGTTAACATTTTACTGAGTATCAGCCATGTACCCAAGGCTGCAGTAGCTCTGGGGTAGACAAAGAAAAAGTGTGTGACAAGTTTTAGTCTTCAAGAGCCTTAACATCTCAGAAGTTTACTTGTTCCATTTTAAAAGCCAATCTGAAAACAATCCATTATATTTAAAAGTTTAATTTTTAAAATCAATATTACTTCTTGCTCTTAATGTAAGCAACTCACTTATTTTTATATTTTTACTAATACTATATATGTATTACTTATCTTGATATGCATTTCTTCAAGGAACCTCACCTTGGCATTTGTAAATCTCACATTGGCTTGAATTTTGGTGGGATGTCTCTAGGTAAAACAGAAACAAAAGTCAAATAAAAACACTTTTTGAATTTTCAAGCAAATGCAAGTTTGTACATTTTGAAGTTCCACTCAAGTGAAATCTCTATAGGATATGAAAGAAAACTAAATGAATCAATTTTTTGAAATCGCTCAATTCTTGGGTATGCACATTGGTTAATATTTTTGCATATCTATTGAACATTGATGTTGCCTCAAGTTAATTCCCAGCAATGGACTAGTATCTTCTGGTGATGTCATCTTTCCCAGACTATTTTTTTTTTCCTTTGAAGTTTTCTAAGACAAATCACTAATCAATTTATTATAAATGATAAGCCTTTCCAAAATAGACCTTGGATTAAAACAACTTTTCAGGAAATAAATATGCTTCAAATGAGGTCTTTGCAATGAATATTATCTTTGTTATGACCTGAAAGTACTTGTTCCAACTCTTCTGTATGTATATGCTTGTGTGTATTTTCAATTAAGTATATTTGAACATATAAAAATGATGTATGACATGGTATACCCATTAGTGGAATTTACGATCACATTACATATTTCTAAGCCGTTTATTAAATGATGCACCAAGAATTTAAAGTGTGTTATTCTTACTTAATAAATGATATACTGTATTACTGTGTTTTTCTTCCAATAATTCAAAGCACATTTTGTTCCTTAGGTATTCAAAATTGAGCTAGTTATACTCTTTAGTTCATGAAATGTGAAAGCATCTTTATATGCATTGTTTTTATGGCAAACACAGTAAGATCGGAGGCAAATATTTAGGGTGACCAATCATCCTGGTTTTCCTGGGACTGAGTAGGTTTCTGGCACATGGCACTTGCCATGAAAAAGTCCCAGCAAATAAGGGACAAATTGGTCATCCTATGGATGTTATATTTCCCACTGATAGTTGGGGAAACTGAAGTAGAGCGAAGCAAAGTGCTTTACCTGGTTGATCCAGCAAACTAGAAGCAGATATTGCATTTAGTCTTCTATATTCCAACAAGAGCATATTTGCAACTAAACAGATCCCTGCTATGTCCTCTCTTTTACTTTCACCTGGAACTGTAAGGAAACCAATGTTATCTTTGCCTTTTTTTGTATGCAATATCCCAAAAGTGCTAGGTTGAAATACTGTGGATACTAGGGAGTGGGGCCCTTTATTGATATCCCACATTATTCAGGAGGAACAGCATTGCCACTTTGTGTTTTAGAGTAGAACAACAGAAGGAATGGGAACTTATAATTATCACAGTTCTTAAGAGCAGAAGAAATACTAGTATAAGTCCCAACTTAACCAAGTACCTCTTAAGACCATTATCTATCTCCTGTCTTAACTGGGCCATATGTGTAATTTCATGAAACAAATCAACTTAAAAGAACCTCAGGAAAATGACCAGGTGGCCACTTTTTGAACAACATGGTAATAGCTAAAATTTACTAAGGGCTTGCTGTGTGCCAGGCACTAGGCTTAGAGCTTGATGTGTGTTTGATCAATTCAGCCCCACAACACTTCCATGAAGTAGCAACTAACATTCCCAATTTACAGATAAGAAAAATGAGGTTTAAAATGGTTAAGTGACTCATCTAACATCATACAGCTAATAAAGGTTGGAGTCTGAATTTATACCCAGGCAGTCTGAACCTAGATCCAGTGCTTTTAGCCACCTATTATGTCAGTTTTAATAAAAGCAGCTGAACCCCACAGTTCCCAACGTCCAGTCACTCAGACAGATACTAATTAGGGTAGACCTAAGACTAGCTAGACCACACTTTCCTGAAATGCACAGAAGATGTGTTAGTCTTACCTGTTCAGGTAAAAAGGCATGAAGTTTTCTAGTCATAGGTATTAAAGGATCTGAAGGAAGACATTTTAATCTGTTAATTAATTCCAGAGTGAGATAAATTACCCTGTCACGATTCTCTTATTTCTTCAATACCTCTATTACTCTTTCTGAAATATGTAAATAATATGTCCTGGGCTTCTCTGAGAAATGACTGGGTAAAATAATGGGAAAGCACAATGCAAACTGTAAAGTGTTTTGTACAATTATCCCATATGTTAAGGAGCTTCCAAAATAGCAATTTCTTTCAATACCCATGCAAAGCAAATGAGACACAGCTGCTAGAATGTTCTGCAAAGAGATAGAAATCCAGCTCTCTAAAACATTCAAGAAGGAAAACACATACCATAAAATTACCCCAACGATGAATTTTACAAGAAGCACAGGAGTGTCTTCAAGTTTTTTTATGGTTAATTCTAAGAGTAACAGCATTGCAAAGATCAAACAAGGCAATTCTTCCACAGAAACCTGGGGAAATCCACTGCTTTAATGACACTTGCATAATAGTTAGAAATATAAATTATACTCACATGAGAAGCAAGAAAAGGAAGCCAAGTTTACTAAGTTTACTGGCTCTTCTCAACCTTTTCCAGAGACAAGTCTGTTGGTGGGGGAGGGGCGGGGGTGGGAAGGACTTGTTCTAAACTAAACATAAGGAGGACTTTAAAAGAAGAAAAGGGAAGTATTAAGAAAGGATGAGGTGTTCTGGAATGCTATGAAGCATTCAAAGTGACTCAGCACTTGCCAAGGGGTGGCAGCAATTAAATGAGTTTTTTGAAAGAACTCTAATAAAATCAGCATTCCCTGTAATCTCTGAATAAGATTCACCACGAAAGAACATTATCAACAATGCATTTGTGGGGCTGTGGTTTGATCGAAGTTGCTTGGTGGCGAGTGAACTCAGCCATGAGTCACAGACTCCTCGGATGAAGTGGACTAAAACCAGAGGAAGCAGGGTTGGGTCTCTAGGTCTCTGTTCTCTTCCCTCTGTCTCCCCGTCTCCTAGGGGATTTCTGCCCTTCTGCAATCAGACAAAAGGAGCAAGTCAGCTGGCCATTGGACAGTAAGAATTTGTCAAACAAGTGAAATCAATTTTACCTGTAGCACAAAGTATAAAATTTATAAACTGTATAAACATATCCTGAGATGGGGAGGAAGGAAGACTTTTGTGGGGTCTTCTTCATCTATGAGAATGGTTAGTGTAGATGTCTGTATCCATGCAGGAGAACACCTAAGTTATCGGAGATGGAGGCTATGCAGATTATTAAAATTCTTTGGAGAAAAAGAATGTCAAAATTTCTCTTAGTAACTAATTTAACTAATTTTTATCTTTATCCATTAGCCATTAATTTCTGTTCTAAAACATCAGTTTCTCTTGTTCTAAACTGGTATTTCTGAATATGGATGGATATTTTTCCCCATTGAAAAGTGTAAATCCTTCATATATCTGCATATAGTTGTTCTCATACTAAACTCATAATGGAAACCCAGGCAATTCTCTTACCCCTTCACAAATGAGAACTTCCCACTTACCACTTCAGATCATAGAAAATATATATATATTGATCTTCTTGCATCCTTTTTCCTATTTCAGTGGCCAACTACAAACTGAATGAAGAGCTTATCTTTTCACATCTTAAGATAAAAAAATTTTAAAAGATTAAGAACTTGAAATCTGACATTTCTGTATTAACATATTTTTTTTTTCAAAATGCTTGTATCGATTTTTTTGTTGTTCTGGAATAAACTCAGGTATAAAATATTATAATTTACATATTCATTACCAACTTATTTATTTTATTTAATATTCATGAACTGAATATTTGTCACTTGTTCTGCCAGCCAAATTGTTCTCCTTCATTCATAAATGGAACTATTCTCTGTTAAATAACTGATTACCAAGAATAAAAGGAGTTGACATCTTTTAAATTCTTTAAAAAGCTATTAAAGTCAAGCTACTACCATTTATTTTTCCCCTTAAAAAAAGTTATTGTTCTATTTGATTTATTTTGTTCTGAATAGAAAAATTAAAAAACTAGGATGGATTCTCTTTTTTTTCTTTTTTTCAAAAAAACTTTTTATTAAATTTATTAGAGTGACTTTTGTTAATAAAATTATATAGGATTTGAGTGTACAATTCTATAATAAATCACCTGTATATTGCATTGTGTGTTCACCACACAAAGTTAAGTTTCCTTCTATCATCATATATTTGATCCCCTTTATCCTTATCTCCCTCCATAATGCTCCCCTTTCTCCCTAGTAACCACTAAACTGTTGTCTGTGTTGATGGATCTCTGTCTTGTTCATTTGTTGCTTTCAGATTTATATCCCACATGTAAGTAAAATCACATGGTTCTCAACTTTTTCTATCTGACTTATTTTGCTCAGCAAGATAATCACAAGATCCATCTATGTCGTCACAAATGGCCATATCTTATCTTTTCTTATGGTTGAGTAATATTCCTTTGTATATATGTACCACATCTTCTTTATCTAATCATTTATTGAAAAATAAACCATCAATAAGACAGAGGCAACCAACTGAACGGGAAAAGATCTTTGCATATATCTTTTAGCCTCTGAAAAGGGGCTAATATCCAAAATATACAAAGAACTCATACAATTCAAAATAAAAACAAAATGATCCAATTAAAAAAAAAAATGAGCAGAAGACCTGAACAGCCACTTCTCCCAAGAAGACATACAAATGGCCAACAAACATATTAAAAGATGCTCAACTTCACTAGTTATTAGGGAAATACAAATCAAAACCACAATTAGATACCACCTCACATCTGTTAGAATGGCTATCATCAACAGGACAACTAATAACAAGTATTGGAGAGGTTGTGGGGGGAAAGGAACCCTTATACACTGCTGGTGGGGATGTAAATTGGCACAGTCACTATGGAAAAGAGTATGGAGTTTTCTCAAAAAACTAAGAATATACTTACCATATGATCCAACAATCCCTCTTCTGGGATTTACTTAAATAATTTGAAAACATTTACCTGTAAAGGTATGGGACCCAGATGTTCATAGCAGCATTATTCACAGTGCCCAAGACATAGAAACAGCCAAAGTGTGTGTGTGTGTGTGTGTGTTTTTTTTTTAATTTTATTTTGGCATTCTTATAGGAAAAAGAGGGAACATTTTCTATTTCATCAACCAGAACAACACTAGTTTGAGATTGGAACACAATCTGGTTCCAGAAAACCTATATTATAGCTTCCAGAAATGAGAAGAAACTTTTGTCTCAATGAGACAGGTGAGATATTCCTTTTGCTTTTAATATTTGTTAATACCAACATGTGAAACATTTCCACACACACGTTTGGAAGCATGAACCAAATCCTGTGATAGATAGCAAAGTAGCTGACTCCTTGATACTGACCAAACCAGCAACATGCACTTGAATTTGAGTTGGATTTAGATGAGCAATTCAATAAGTTGTATAGCAGAAAGATGACTACGGGCATAGGAATCAAATGACATCATGATCTTGGTGAAAATTTTGCTCTTTTATGAGCAGTTTAGTAGTTGAGGTCAGTCTTTTAATTCACTTATAATTTTACAGAGAGTTTTCACTCTATAGCACTTAATCATTTCTCCCCAACTTGATTTCTTCATTCTTACGATTGGGTTAATACAACTTACTGTGCAGTTCTATCATAAGGACTTAATAAAATTTATATATTAAGCTTACTATAGTGCCTGGTACATAAAAGCTGAATGATTATTTCTTATTCACTATGGTTCTACTACTGAATATTGGTTTTTAATAAGGTAGCAGACTATAGTAATATTCCGCCACCCTCTCAACCCCCAGAAAACACAGTTAACTAAGAAAATCCCTAATTATCACAATTTTATTGTATCTCTCGCAAGGAACCCAGTCACCTTACACCTACTATAATAACTTATTGAAAATTTACCATGAGCCATGCTCTATAATAAGCACTGTACATGGGCATCCTCACTTTATTTCTATGAGTTCAATACTACTGTTATTCTCAAAAAGAAAAAAAATGGGAAACATAATTTAGGTTAAAGTGTCTACTATCTCTCTCTTTTTTAATCTTATAGGTGCTTCCTATCTCTGTTTAAGTTTATAAACTTATAATAAATAAGAATGGCCAAAACTCTCATTAATATCTGTTTAAGAAATACAGACAATATATACAAAATGCAATGACAACACTAAAAAAACAGTCAAGGTTAGCCATCTGTTGAAATAAAAAGCAAAAGGCCTCTGAAGAATTCTCTTGAAAATTACTCCATCCATATTTACCATTTTAAAAATGTTATAGAAATTCATGCATACTGAATTGGCAAATAAAAAACTTCTATACAACCACTAATTTTTACTGCAGCAATGAAGAATGCCTGTGTTTGATACAGAGACATTAACCAGGAAAAGAATTCTTTATTGGGAATACATCACATCTCTATTTAAAAACCTCAGTCATTTTGTATAATTTAGAAAACTTCTAAAATGAAATATTTATGGTATATTTTTTATATTGTGTTTGGCTTTATTTATTTATTTATTTATTTATTTATTTTTGGGGCGAGGAGAAACAAGAAGGCGGGACAGAGACACCGGGTGCAGTCGGATGCGAGCCCCTCCCCC